GAGGTAGGTCAGCAAGAGAGAGAGAGGTAGGTCAGCAAGAGAGAGAGAGGTAGGTCAGCAAGAGAGAGAGAGGTAGGTCAGCAAGAGAGAGAGAGGTAGGTCAGCAAGAGAGAGAGAGAGGTAGGTCAGCAAGAGAGAGGTAGGTCAGCAAGAGAGAGAGGTAGGTCAGCAAGAGAGAGAGGTAGGTCAGCAAGAGAGAGAGAGGTAGGTCAGCAAGAGAGAGAGAGAGAGGTCAGCAAGAGAGAGAGAGGTAGGTCAGCAAGAGAGAGGTAGGTCAGCAAGAGAGAGAGAGGTAGGTCAGCAAGAGAGGGAGAGGTAGGTCAGCAAGAGAGAGAGGTAGGTCAGCAAGAGAGAGAGAGGTAGGTCAGCAAGAGAGAGAGAGGTAGGTCAGCAAGAGAGAGAGGTAGGTCAGCAAGAGAGAGGGGTAGGTCAGCAAGAGAGAGAGAGGTAGGTCAGCAAGAGAGAGAGGTAGGTCAGCAAGAGAGAGAGAGGTAGGTCAGCAAGAGAGAGAGAGGTAGGTCAGCAAGAGAGAGAGAGAGAGGTAGGTCAGCAAGAGAGAGAGAGGTAGGTCAGCAAGAGAGAGAGAGAGAGGTAGGTCAGCAAGAGAGAGAGAGAGGTAGGTCAGCAAGAGAGAGAGAGAGGTAGGTCAGCAAGAGAGAGAGGTAGGTCAGCAAGAGAGAGAGAGAGAGGTAGGTCAGCAAGAGAGAGAGGTAGGTCAGCAAGAGAGAGGGAGGTAGGTCAGCAAGAGAGAGAGGTAGGTCAGCAAGAGAGAGAGGTAGGTCAGCAAGAGAGAGAGAGGTAGGTCAGCAAGAGAGAGAGAGATAGGTCAGCAAGAGAGAGAGGTAGGTCAGCAAGAGAGAGAGAGAGGTAGGTCAGCAAGAGAGAGAGGTAGGTCAGCAAGAGAGAGAGAGGTAGGTCAGCAAGAGAGAGAGAGGTAGGTTAGCAAGAGAGAGGTAGGTCAGCAAGAGAGAGGTAGGTCAGCAAGAGAGAGAGGGGTAGGTCAGCAAGAGAGAGAGAGTCAGCAAGAGAGAAAGAGAGAGGTCAACAAGAGAGAAAGAGAGAGGGGTCAACAAGAGAGAGAGAGGTCAACAAGAGAGAGCACTTCTCTCTCTCGTTGACCTCCTCTCTTGGTCTGTTGTCGTCTTGACGTCTCCCCACATACAGTGGGAGATGCCACGACCACACCACGTACAGTGGGAGACGCCACGACCACACCACGTACAGTGGGAGACGCCACGACCACACCACGTACAGTGGGAGATGCCACGACCACACCACGTACAGTGGGAGATGCCACGACCACACCACGTACAGTGGGAGACGCCACGACCACACCACGTACAGTGGGAGACGCCACGACTACACCACGTACAGTGGGAGATGCCACGACCACACCACGTACAGTGGGAGATGCCACGACCACACCACGTACAGTGGGAGACGCCACGACCACACCACGTACAGTGGGAGACGCCACGACCACACCACGTACAGTGGGAGATGCCACGACCACACCACGTACAGTGGGAGATGCCACGACCACACCACGTACAGTGGGAGACGCCACGACCACACCACGTACAGTGGGAGACGCCACGACCACACCACGTACAGTGGGAGATGCCACGACCACACCACGTACAGTGGGAGACGCCACGACCACACCACGTACAGTGGGAGATGCCACGACCACACCACGTACAGTGGGAGATGCCACGACCACACCACGTACAGTGGGAGATGCCACGACCACACCACGTACAGTGGGAGACGCCACGACCACACCACGTACAGTGGGAGATGCCACGACCACACCACGTACAGTGGGAGATGCCACGACCACACCACATACAGTGGGAGACGCCACGACCACACCACGTACAGTGGGAGACGCCACGACCACACCACGTACAGTGGGAGATGCCACGACCACACCACGTACAGTGGGAGATGCCACGACCACACCACGTACAGTGGGAGACGCCATGACCACACCACGTACAGTGGGAGACGCCATGACCACGCCAATGCGAAGGAGTCTACCCCCAGGTGGCCTTACATTCGGCAAAGCCACCTGAAGGACATGGTGTCGACTTCACTCCATGGAAAGAGGAAGGAACCGGGACAAGCCGTCTGCCAGAATGTGGACACACCTTGAAAGTTAAACCCCAGAGAGCTAAACCCCAAGAACTCGGCAGAAGAGCTACCCGGCGCAACCAACCCCAAAGCCACGGACCAAAGAGCCCCCACCCCCGTGACAGATAATGAAGCACGGAGGAACAGTTCAAATGGAGCCAGATCAAGGAGCCCCAAGGAAGCCGAATCCAAGCGCAGCGCCTACCTCACTGTGCTGTGAGCCCGACGGAAGGACGGACTCCAATGCCCCTGGCCAGACAGGTGAGCACTGGTCCCAAAACTCCAACCGAGAGTTTGAGGTGAGAGCTGGGGTGCCATAGGCACAATCAGAGAACATTGTATAAACATCAGAGGTCCACGGTTGTTCAACGTCCTACCAGCAACTATCAGAAATATTGCCAGAAACAACCATGGACATCTTCAAGAGAAAACTAGACTGTTTTCTCCAAGGAGTGCCGGACCAACCGGGCTGTGGTGGGTATGTGGGCTTGCGGGCCGCTCCAAGCAACAGCCTGGTGGACCAAACTCTCACAAGTCAAGCCTGGCTTCGGGCCAGGCTTGGGGAGTAGAAGAACTCCCAGAACCCCATCAACCAGGATAGACGAGGCGTTCTTGAACACATCAAGCGAGTGACGGGGAAGGCACCATGGCACCGAACCCTGAAAACCCCAAAGAAGCCGGTGATGCAGCAACAAACGCAAGAACACCAGGGTATGAACCAAATGGTCGTGAGCATGGCAAAAGAGGCGGCTCTGAAGATACCAAAACAGCCTCTGAGGCCAAAAATCTGCCCAATGGATAAACCTGAAGGGCAAAATTCAGGCTCCCGCACAGCTGCTTGAGCAACCCCCAAGGGACCCGGATCCCCCTCAAAAACAGCCGAAAGTGGGACTGCAGCTGGAGCAGTCCCACTTTCGGCAGTTTTCAACTCCTTCCGCAGGAGAGAGACGGACATAGTCCAAGAATCCCATGCAAGGCCCAGCTAAGTCCGAACCAGGGACGGAACCAACTGGATCTTCCGCTAATTTACCAAGAACCCAAACCCGGCAAGCTAGTTAAGAACCAGCTCCCAGGCTAGCAGACGAGCAGACCGGCTGGGAGCTTACATCAACCAATCATCGAGAGAGGCCGGCAGCCAGGATGACACCGGGGTCTCGAAACGCATCCAATCAGTGTAAGAGGAACCAAACTCAAACAAAAACCGGATCAAACACAGAGGTGTAAACTTTGTCCCCACAGGAAAACGAAATCCGAGAGGTGGAAAACCTTCGAAAAGACGAATCCGAAGAACCATAGGGCACCTGGAAAGGTACCTGGGTGGAGCCCTACCTACCACATCTGGTGGCAGATAAGACACACAATGTGAATGAAAAGATCTGTATTTTTTTTTTTTTTTAATAAAGACCTCTTATTGCTGTTTTAGCCCCATGGCTAAAAAAGCAATAATACAGACAGGATACCGATAGCCGTAGGCTTGGGAGCCGGACGGGCACACAGGGCACAAAAACCAGCGCGAATAATAAAAGAAAGAAAATCTAATGACCACTGTGTCTGTTAACACAAGACCGAGGGAATAAAATACATTAGTACCACAGTTGCGTACACCAGACAAGACAGGTAACCCAAGACTGGGAGACAGGAGCATAATTAGCCCAGTAGTGTGCACCCCAGGAGAATGACGGAGAAGAGGCGGACTCGAAGAGCCGAAGTGCAAGCACAAGAGGGTAACGAGACGAGTACAAACTTGCCCAATTGACCGACACCTCAGCAGTGATGCGGGAAACAAAAAACCTAGAGGACCTGGGTTTCACGTATTGGTGGTGGGGCTCGACCACCTCCGCGCCCGAATCTGAAGAGGCAGTCCCCGAAACCACCCGAGCCTCAATCCAATCTAAACCCCACCCCGACTCCGGAACCCTCAGATAGTTTGGAGCAGGAAGAAGGGAGAGAGGAGCAAGGCAAATGCACCCACCTGGAAAGGAACTGGGGGTGCAGACAGAATCAAATCCTGGGCCCTAAAATCCAAACAGGGTAGCTTGGGGGCCTCCAACTGGGCAACCAACCAGGCACGTTGCAAGAATGAGAGGGAAGCTTGCAACGCCGCCTGACTCCACTAATCTGCAGACGAGCAAGGGGTAACTGAAGCACAAGCAGGGAACAAGTCCCGCAAGACTCCAGGTCATTGGTGCCACCGACCCAATAGGCAGCAAGGTGGAGGCAGAAAGGGTGATCGTCATACTGAGGCAGAGGTGACGAACAACCGTCAAATTTGCACAAAGTGAGAATGGACGGATCCATATTACCGAGCCCATGGGGGTTTGCTGGGGCCCACAGGGTACGTTAGCCATAAGGGAAGCCCAGGCACCGAGGCCAGCGAAGCCGGTAGACCCCCCTGCTTATAAACAGGGAAACTGACTGGCAGAGGTGAAACCTCAAGGGCAACAGAGGAGAAAAGCCTAGGCAACCTAGGCTGGCCTAATGAAGCAGCTAGGCAGACCACCTCCATTCACAGAGGGAAAATTCCTGAAAATGAACAAAGAACAAGCCCATGAAACAACAATGCAAGCAAACTAGCAGCTGGAAATGTCCGCCGGCGCATAGGTTGCAGACTGCCCCAGCCACAGTGCCCCCCCCCCCTCTCAGCCAATAACACTTCCCCTACACGAGTCAAGACGGAAAGCTCAAAACCACCGACTTACCCCAAAGGTGAAGACAACGTCACGCAACGAAGCCCTCCAATGGAGAGCGAGTCTCGAACGTCTAGGGAAAGTAACCCTGGCACCCAAGTACACAACCTACGAAGCATTTGGGGAGATGCAGCCCCAAGTACAAAGAACACCTGGCCACTACACCACACACACATCTGGTAGCCATACAGGGCAAAATCCACAAAAAGAAAGTGAGGCCAGATGTGACCATTAACCACCAAGCACATGAGACGAGAACTGAAGTGGTGAAAGGCCGGCCGGCTCCCCTCTCCCTCTTATCGGGGAGGGGGAAAGTAGAGGATAGAGTTCCTAGTTTCTTTTCTTTCTGGGTAACTACCCCGGTCGATGGTGGAAAATGACATGTAGGATAATTTATCCAGAACAGTATTGCAATTGGTGTCACAGCCATCAGCACAAAAGTTAGATTTGATTAACATAGTAAATTGATGGACATTAAATGTCACTGTGAATAATGTATATTTACAGTAATTATATATGTATTTACAGTAATTATATATGTATTTTTTCACAAAGGGAATATAATATGGTCTTGCATTGTCACATAAAAGAACAAATTATATAAATGTTAAGATATAAATATATGTAAATGGCTTATTATAAACAGAAGCTAAATAAAATGTTTCAAGTTATTCTTAACATGTGAATTTGGCAATCACAATGCACCAGGAGCAGTGACTAAATTACCTGTGTACCTTCATGCATTTAAACACACACAAGTTTCCAACTGTGAAGAACACACCAAGCCCATTGTGCTATAGAATGTATGTTCTTAAAGAATATTTATAGCCAAAGAGATGATTTACTTAGTTCCAGGCATTAAAACTTCCTCTTTTGAAGAGGCAACAAGAAAACAATTTATATTAAGTACTGACGAAAGGTATAGAACTTATAGGGCGTGACTTATAGGCCGTGACTGAAGTGTACAATCGATGAAGGGGTTAAAAAATATCGACCCAAGTTAGAATATGAAACAACAGATTCCCATTGTAGAACTTTTGACAGAAATGATTACTGTATGATCAACATTGACTCAAAAAATTGAACTCCGTGGAACAGGTTACCAAATAACATCAAACTCACTGAAAAGTTTGAAGCTTTGGATAGGTAAGTACATAAATGGGACTAGCTTGATATAAATCCAAGCTTCCTTACACAGGCCAATAGGCATGTTTTGCATTTTCCTGTATGTTTATCTTATAGTGCAGAGCAGGAACCTCAGTTTATTCAATGTTTTGCCAACATGGCATCTTTAAGAATAGCTGGGAAATCATTATCGTAATGAATCTACTTATTGTTTTTTAAAATTAAGAAAATAAAGGTAATACTCACCATAAGATTTTTTTGTATTAGCCAAACTGTTGAGCTGCTTATTTACAATAACTTTAGCAACTATTGGTGTTGATCGGATTTGTTCTTTTGTCCCACGTGCAGGTACTACAAAAGATGACCTGTACATCCCATTTCCTGTTATTATGAAACACATTAAACACTGACAACACTTTGAATAACTTGAGATCCGTGCTTTGCACTTGGTGCACAACATAAATGCAGCAGTTAGAACCCACTTCTGGAACACAGTCTCTAAATGGTGACGGGAATGCTCTGACGACCTGGAGAGCGGCCGTCAAGCACGAGTCTGGCCAAAGGATAGGAGAGAGACCAGGAGTGCTCCATCCTTCAAGGATGAGCTACATGATCCTAGCGGGGCACCCACTGGGATCACCCACCCACTATTACTCGCCAGTAACTTTCTATTCACAAGTCAAACTGATATTTGTGCACCATATTTCTACCAATCAAATAGGCTTTAGTTAAGTGAATACATATAAATTAATTGTAAATAGTTTTGAGTATAGATAAAAAAAAGAATGAGAAAATATAACTGGTAACACTCGGTCTTTTGTGAATGTATAACCCCAAATATATCTTCTTTAAACATTCTTACTTAATGTAAATATAATCTCATATACAACTGAAAGAAATAAACCAAGAAGCACAGCAAGAACTGCTTCATGAATTTAAAACTAAGATACTTTTTCACTAATATTAAAACAAAAACATATTCCATAAATACTTGCTAAAAATTTGATTCACTTGTTAGAAAAGTTCTAAATAGTGACAAAAAACTGCCTTGCAATCTCCCGGGAAAATCTGGGAAAATGGCAGTTATCATTAAATCAACATTCACAATGTTAAATATAGTCCTGTTATTATGCAACATGTCAAACTATCTCAAGTTGATTTAATATTACTCAAGCATATTTTGCCTGTTGGATAGGCTGAGTAACATGAATTCTGATTAACATTAAAATACATCAAACTGTTGATGGTAGTGTAAGTAATTTTCAACTGTGGGTACAACATGGCAATTAAAGACTCAAGACTCTTGAATTTTAAATGATCATAAATACTCCTAGTGATGTTACCTGAGACGTCCCATTAATATGGCTGTAACTGAAAGTGGATAGAACACAATACAGTCGAGAGAAAATTTCACAAAGGCTAAAGTCGGAAGGCATTATTGTCAAAAGAATACTATTTTACAATTACACTTGTACCGATATATTACTGACAGTTTAAAACACTAGGATAATCTCATCTTCTTCGAAGCATTGCAGTCATTTTCGCACTCTCCATTTTCGGTTGATTTGGGTGCTAGATTACGGAGAATTCTGCTTTGGGAGTAATGACCAAAGAGAGCTGGTAATAAGGCCACACCATAGCCTGTAGCTCTCTCACCCTGAAAGAATAACGCATATTAATCTATATTATGGTAAGCATAACTATCCTTCATATATATAAATAATGATAATTTACATATCTAAGCTCATTTATCCAGACTATATATGAAGGATCCCTCACCAGATAAGCCAGACATCAAGATAAGCAGAATTTTTACCAGGGAAATCCAAAAATTATCATATTCGCACTTTTGGTACCACAACCAACATAATTTGAATTTCCACACACACTATAAATCAAAGATATAATTTTAAACAAACTCTAGCTTATCTTGTTGTAGTTTGTCGTCTTGTTAAGACATTGCAGATCTTGAAATGTGTAGTTCAGGAAAATTTACGTTACCTAGTCTCCGGTTATCCAGATTTCTGTCCAGTTTTGCCAGAAAATTATCTGGATGCAATTTTGTCCAGATAGCCCAAATATTGGGTTCAGCGGACTTCGAATCATTTAACTCGTACAGTACTATCTTGAGGTTATCTTGAGATGATTTCGGGGTTTTAGTGTCCCGCGGCCCGGTCCTCGACCAGGCCTCCACCCCCAGGAAGCAGCCCGTGACAGCTGACTAACACCCAGGTACCTATTTTACTGCTAGGTAACAGGGGCATAGGGTGAAAGAAACTCTGCCCATTGTTTCTCGCCGGCGTCTGGGATCGAACCCGGGACCACAGATCACAAGTCCAGCGTGCTGTCCGCTCGGCCGACCGGCTCCCATTACTATATTATAAATATTTCTAGACACCCAACCAACACAAATGAAAATAAAGGAAGTGATAAATGTGTGTATCCTGGACCATTATCAAGTCATGTAAAGAAGGAGTGGTACAGAAAGCCAATATGCAAGGTTTCAATGCGAGGTAACAGGACCAAGGTTCATGCTATATGAACAAATCCACAAGGGTTGTGACGAGGGTTCGAACCTACGACCGAGAGGATCCCAGACGTTGCCTTAATCACGCAATTGTGATTTGTGTGTGTTCGTGCTGTATACTCGCCTAGTTGTTGTGTGTAAGAGCAGATTCGACAAGCTGGCATCTGTGAAGAGCGGAGGCAGGAAATAACATTGCAGAGAAAGACCAATCTATAGGGTGAGCAGTCCCTAACATGAGAGAAGGAGTATCGTTCATGTCTGTAGACTTAACACTTCTTTCTGTCATTGTGTGTCGGGTGTAATTTTCAACCACATTACTGTGACTTACTATCTGCATATAATTTAATTCACATATTGCATATTAATTCTAATTGATATACAGTACTGTATTATATAATAAACAATTGTATTTCATGTGCCATATTATATAATACAGTAAATTATTATAACACTGCCTGGGATCACAAAACTGTTTCCCTCCTCCCCAATTTTAACATAATGGGTAGAAGACTGAATCTGATGAAACAACTAATAGAGCATGAAAACTCTCGAGGGAGCTGGTCGGCCGAGCGGACATGCTGGACTTGTGATCCTGTGGTCCCGGGTTTGATCCCGGGCGCCGGCGAGAAACAATGGGCAGAGTTACTTTCACCCTATGCCCCTGTTACCTAGCAGTAAAATAGGTACCAGGGTGTTAGTCAGCTGTCAAGGGCTGCTTCCTGGGGGTGGAGGCCTGGTCGAAGACCGGGCCGCGGGGACACTAAAAGCCCCGAAATCATCTCAAGATAACCTCAACTATGCCAAAAGCATAAATCATTCACTAAAACAACTGCATACTACTACTACTACTGAATATATTCCGTCAGATGAGAAACAATTGGGACACTCAAACTGACTTGTAATCAATGGTAGTCAGTCAGATGACCACAGTTACTAAGTTGAAGAATACCATATGGGTCTATCAGACAAGCTATTAACCCTTCCACTGTGCAAGACGGCTGGGAATGATCTCGCTAACTATCCTTAAACTGCACGACGTGATTGAGGAAGTTTTATAGTATATAGCGAGTAGATTATGCCAATAATATACTCTCTCTTAACTCATTAGCCTAATGCAAGAAGCAAATCTCATTAATACTAATTATTGAACTCAAACCTTTCCCTACTTACAGTTAATATTCCTGCCAACCTTTGGAGAACGATGAGGTGTTGCCCGAGCATATAAGCAGCAGAGTAGCGAGTAATAACCAGTCTACTTTCAAGTGTGGTTTAGAACAGACACTTTAGAACAGAGGGCGCCTGACAGCTGGGTGGACAACGCTTCGGATTCGTAGTCCTGAGGTTCCGAGTTCGATTCCCGGTGGAGGCGGAGACAAATGGGCAAAATGCTTCTTTCACCCTGATGCCCCTGTTACCAAGCAGTAAATAGGTACCTGGGAGATAGACAGCTGCTACAGGCTGCTTCCTGGGGGTGGAGGCTTGGTCGAGGATCGGGCCGCGGGGACACTAAGTCCCGAAATCATCTCAAGATAACTTCAAGATAACATTTGCAAGATACTGTACCTACTCTCAGTGCACTAAACTCGCTATCAAACCATTACTCGCCAAATGTCACCTGCAAACTTCTGTATACTACATTCGTCCAAAAATATATATATATTTCTCTTAGTATCTGTGTTTATTGTCACCATACTTTACGTAACAATAGAATCGTTACAAGTACAACACAAGATTTAACATTCCCATGAGTACATATGGAATTCGGGGCTCACATCTGCTCCCTCAAGCCTCCAGTAAACAGATGCCATATTGGGAAAAAATCATGGGCTACCCCTCCCTCTCAGTACTGAGAGGGCGGCCACAAGTAGTGCGTGCAGCAGCAACTCACAGCAAAGCCATGCATCTCGTGCCCACAACTCACTCAATAATGATAAAATAAATAACAGTGATAAATTAACTATGATAATGTCATAAGAGATCCTGACTATGATTAAAACTACATACAAATTTCAGCAACCAGTGAACCGAATGCTGGTTACGACGTTCATGGCACGATGCAGACATCCAAACACACACACACACAGACATGGTTTGGTGCAGCTATACATCATGAAATGAGACCTCATGTTCCTATATTTTCTAAACTTATGGAAAATTATTCATATTTAGGATTTAGTGATCAGGATTCTGATGATAATAATAGCAGTGTTGTGGCTAGAGTTAGCAAGGTGTGTAGTATATAGGAAGATATACCACCAACTGCAGTAGTGTATACATGCCAACTGTACCATTGGGAGCAGCAGAACAAGAAGTTGTGAAATATTCCCAACAGTTAGGAAAGTTAACAGTATCACGCTCCGCGCGTATGCACGAAGTAGCCCTGGCTACTACTGTAGTCCCATAATAATAGCACAATAAATAGAATATTAACAAATATTTTAAAATTTTGACCAAAAATGTACAATATTTATAATCTTTCAAGTGTTCTGACATCAAGTTTTGTGTTACATCTTTTATTTTGGTATCAAATTGTGCGCATTCTAAAGGCGCTTATTTTGAAACTCTCCCGAAGTTGATCGGATAAAAAATGAATTTTATACAAATATTTTTGTACCCTGTATTGGACGCGAGCGCAGTCCTCGGCTAGGACTCGAGAGAAAAAAAGTGGACGCGAGCAGTGCCCAAAGCTAGCGATAGTGGATTAAGGCAGTGTCTGGTATGCTCCCGGATGCATTTTCAAATCCTCGTCACGGCCCTTGTGGATTTGTTCATTAGCGATAGTGTTAACAGCAGTAAGAGAGCAATACAAAATAAAATAATAAAAATGTCTTCCAGAAACACATTTCCACAAATAAATGAACAATACTCACACTATGAACTGGATATGCCATATCAACGTGAATCCAGTTTCCTGGAAAATCAAAACCTAGATGAGCTGCAATGAAAAGACCAGCGCAGGAAGAAGTTGCATTTGTCCGGTCCTGAAAACAAAAAACAATTTTAATATTCTCCCAAACCAATTCTGTCCACGAGATAATCATTCTAGAGCATTTTGCAAGTCTATATATAGTACAGTAGTGCATTACACATTTAATGCTTCCTCAACTTTCCAAACCACAAATTCAAGACATAATTAGGTCCAGAATATTTGGCATATACAATAATTCATAAATATAAACCCAAAAACTTCATAAAACAAAAGGATATAATGTGGGGGAGTAAGTACGTAATTGTCAAAATACGGCGCCAAGCCGGAGAGAAAATGTACACCGTCTGTTTCACAAGATATTCAAAAGGCGTTAAATATCACTCAAGATGCCAATACAAGAGCAGGACATAAGGTGAATGATATCAAAAGGTATCAGATTCACTAAGGATTGTAATGAGTGACAAATGATCCCTAGGGAGATCAGGAAAGCAAGACACTTGAACATCCCAAAAATGGGTAATCAATAAGGAGGTGCACGGCTGCAAGTGGGCCAACTCAGTTTGGACAAAATGGAGCAGGATGTTACTCCACTGAATGTTGTTCCATTAAGTGACCATGAGTTGGGTGGGTGTGCAGAATATCCTCGTAACGTCAAGAAAATGGTAACTTTAAAAGTGTCATGACAATTTTTTGCCTTATGTAATGCATAGGAGCAAAATGCAATGTTCTTTGTAGGAGGACAGGTTGGGGTATGACTGACATGCAACCTAGCCAAAGCAGTCTCCAGTTGCTTATTATGGTGGTAGGAGGAAAGCCAAGGAAAAACGGTAATGTTTAAGAGCACAAAATTCATTACTTGTAATGCTAGCCAAAAGACCCTGCCAATGGTCGCAGATTGCAGCATGGATCCAAACAGGAAAACCCTTTCCAAGAAATATTGCAAGCATGAATGATTTCCTTAGTAGTGGCAGCTGAGAGTTCTTTCAAGGGAACTCACATATGGCTGGGAAATCAGGAAAATTTGACTGCTATATATCTGCAATTTATAAGAAATGGCCAGTATTGGATTTAGACCACCAGAGGATAAAGTTTAAAAGACTCCAGAGCCATGAGGGAATATGTAAGAGTCAACCTCAATGACAGCAATGTTGATGTAGAGAAAGCAGCTGCTAAAGAGCATGCAAAATTGCATAAAGTTTTGCTATGAAGATACTATTCTCCAGGGGTAAGTGGTAGATATAAATCTGACAAGATGGTCAAAGACCAGAGTTAATGGAAAGAGACCCGTGCCATTCCGAGCTCTCCTCTCTCGGGAGCGAGACGAGAGATGGAGCATGGAATGGACCCATGAAAAGGAAACTCAGGGAAGTCGCACCATAATAGTGCAGGCACTCCCATCCCAAATTATTGAGTCTAAGTCAGCAGACTTAGACTCCCATCAGTGAATAAAGCAATGGAATGAAAGTGAGAGGAAAAAATGTTCAATGAAAAGACTTTTCAAAACAGTTGGGGGAATATAGGCTTTCACCATTTGGGTCAGGATCTTGCAAAATTTCACAAGTGGTACCCTCCTAGAGGGCAAAGCGGGAACAACACAAGAGACATTACCAATGTGAACTGAAAGAAAATCTTGCAAACAAGCCACCTTTGCAGGAAAAGGAGGATGGCATGAGGGAGTAGGGTCCTCCTGAGAGGTAACAGTTAAGCATGGTACAAGCAGGAGTGGGGACCATGCCAGGTAGCGAAGGCAGTAAGAATCACAACAAACCTGTAAAGACAGGATGCGGGTTTCAACATACAAACTCTGGGTGGGGAATGAACGAAAGGCACCAAAACCGAGGCTTAACTCAGCATGGTGCAGAGCATTAAGACATGAAATAATGCTTCTTTCTCTGACTGATAGATGCAGGAATGCTAGTGTTAGGGTACTGTAAGATAGCTGCAATCATCTCGGGTGGGGAAAGAGAACAAGAGTGGGTGACATGAGTGATTGGTGAATATCAGCCAAGACATTCTTATGACATGGGCCAAAAAACAGAGAGGACTGACAAGGACGATGGAACCTAGAGTTGGAAGGGCCCACAAAGGGTAAAGAAGATAGAAGAGGTGGAGGGACAAAGTGAAAATGTGTAGGGAAAGATTGGGAAGGTGGATGGAAATGCTGGCTGGTGGCACCAGAGGTACATACACACACAGACTCAGACTGAAGGAGAGCAGGGGAAGAAGGGGAGCTTGTGAACATATCAGGATCCAAGGCATGCAAATGGTAGCAGATCTGAAGAAGGGAAGATTTTACTCTACTCTGTTAGAGTGAATATTATAATATAGAGTAAGGCACAAGATGAGCTATGGGAAGGAAGAGTTGTAAACTGGCTAACAAGAGCCGTAAGTACTAACCAGTATAAAAAAATCAATTGCAAAAGATAAGACTTACTGCCACAGAATTCTTCATATCTGCTACAGCAGAGGCAAACTCTGCAAAATGAAGTTCTGGAGAATAAGGAAGAGGGTGTATTAGATCCCCAGAAGCTTGCCCAGCTGTTACTGCCGCCTCCTCCCACTCTTGTGAGTTAGTTATCACTGCTCCATGGAATTTGCCTGAAAATGAAACAGTTCCATTACAAGTAAGGTTTATGTGAAAAGATCTTACTATTAAGTGAACAAAAATGTTACATTTAGAAGTACAACATACATGAGTATCCAGTATATTGCTACACATTTGTGTTTCACCAAGTTTTACAGATAAACCTCTTTTTCTTTTGCAATGCACTTCATGGGCATCTGCATTTTCTTTTCAAAGTAATTAACCACCCAAACAGATATGCAACTTGCTATCACTTGGTAAGTACAGTACAAGATGATTACATTAAACTAAACACCTAAGTATTATGATATGATTATTAATGATCAATTTACTTTTTTTATAATACACAGGTATTTACATTTATAATTTCACCATAAACTCAAAAGTAATTAGACAGACTACAAATAATGAATCTTATGACAAGTTTATTTTGGTTTTAATTTTTCACAATAGGTGTCCATTAAATATTTCAAGAGGGCCTCATCACATTAAAAACTTCAAATAAGAATAATATTTAATCGACTTGAAAATGGTCCAAGACGGACCGAAACATTGTCGTCCCTTCACCTTCTAGTGTGTGGTCTGGTCAACATAATATTTAATTCATAAAATATAGAAAGGAACATACTACAATTGCTACCTTGGAGCTACAGTAAATGTATATTACATAAAGCCACTAGTTAACCACAGTGTTTCAGGCATAAAAGTTCCAATGTTCCCAAGTAGCTTAAATAACCCAGTATTGAATACAATGAAATGCCTCTTTCTGTTTGAGCCCTGGTGGCTCCCTGAAGCTATCTCATTGAGATTGCTATCTACTAGATCCCATCAGTCACCAAGCTCTGTTTGGCTTACTGAGAACCAGGGCCAGAACTGGTCCCCCTTCTCTTAGACACGGAGAGCGAATGACATTCTGGCACCCCCACTAATACATTACCAAGAAAGCCAATGAAGCATTACAGACCACTGCCTTGTTCACAAGAACTAAAGCCTCAAAAGCTACCAAACATCTCCCTCAATGTAAATAAACAATAAAATCTCTTGAAACTAGCTCAAACCAGTTGGTACCAACCAATGGCCACCAGGGGTCCCAGAGCCCCAGCCCCCCACCAACCAAGTCAGTTCTGGAACAGATGCCATCACCTTCAACAACAAGCTTGGAAGGGCGGGAGACAGAGAGCTACTGGGACTCAACCAGAGACATTTTATTACATTCAATGCTGGGTTTCTGAGGGAGCCCCTTCTGGCTCTCAGAAGCTAACTAATCACACAGAAGAAACCCAAGGGGACTTAACAAAGAGGAGGAGCGCTAGCAGGCACTATGACAAAGGAAACAGACTGAGAAACACAGCCTAAAGCAACACAGATATGACTGAGCCCAGGAACAGTGACAAAATACTGGACCACCAAGACCCTTTGAGACTTGCAAAATCCATGTGCTCGAATATCAGCCCAGGACATGTTTGAAAAGCCAGCCACAAATACAGTATATTAACAAACATCATGGGCATGAGTAGATCACAGTCTTGTGAACCCAATAGTGGCTGTAATGCTTCGTTGACTTTCTAGATGCTGTATCGGTGAGGTGGTAGACCGTCACATGCTCTCTCTGTCTATATGAAGTGGCAAACTTCTGGATCTAGTCCCTGGCAAGCATAAGAACTCTGCAGAGTTCTTAGAGAGGGAGAGGGTAGTAGTAGACTACCCTCTCGTTGCCTGTAGCTGTAGCTACTCGTACCTGTAGCTACTCTACTACATATCCCTCTACTGAGGGAGATGTAGTAGATAGGAGCAATATCTAGTAGTAGATAGGATAGCTTCAGGAAGCCACAAGGGGCTCCCCAGAGTAAATATGCTGCATTTAATATTGAGAATGCAGCCCATTAAACTACAAACTCGGTTTAATCCTAATGCCTACCTTTACGGTAACCTACAACAATAATCTAACAAATGAAAACCTCTGGAAACATTATTAAAATTCATTATGCCCAAGATGCATTGAATCAGTATTCTACTTCCCACCAAACTACAAGCTATAGTTATATTTATAGAAAGAAACCAGGCAAAAAGCTGCACTTAAATACAATATACAGTACAGTAATTAAATCTAGCACAGACCCACCTGTTGCAGTTCCTTGTGCGCCTGTAAGTGTAGCCATATCCAGGATGGTTGTGCAGTGCAAGTCTTTTGCGGCATATGCCACTCCATCACTCAACACAAGACGACCCTCAGCATCAGTATTGTTGATTTCTACAGTTCTACAGTCATGAAGTTTACATTAATGATATGCAGAAAAAGATTAAAGTGTGTATACGTACATGCACTCTTTATGTGCGTGAACATGTGTGCACATTCATGAGAGCATTGACTATGTATGTATACTGTAACAACATTCAACATCATGTTGATCAAATTTAAAAATATACAACTTGATTAAGTTTAAGAATAAGTTTAAGCATTTTGGATTGATGACTGAAATTTTGTATTTGTGACTAACAGGAGAATTCAATGTTGTTGAAAGAAGCCCAACAATTGTTAACTCTGTTTAAAGTTGAAGGATTGAAAGAGGGCCTCCTTGATGGCTCTTGGAATAACCTAACATTTCCAGGTTTAAAGCGACGCACAATATTGTGAAGAGGAAAAATGAAGCCTCACCACAAAACCAAGAGCCTTCAACCAGTGATGCTTCAGCAGCTGGCAGTCACAACTGTCCTTGCTAAGCTCACCACAAAACCAAGAGCCTTCAACCAGTGATGCTTCAGCAGCTGGCAGTCACAACTGTCCTTGCTAAGCTCACCACAAAACCAAGAGCCTTCAACCAGTGATGCTTCAGCAGCTGGCAGTCACAACTGTCCTTGCTAAGCTCACCACAAAACCAAGAGCCTTCAACCAGTGATGCTTCAGCAGCTGGCAGTCACAACTGTCCTTGCTAAGCTCACCACAAAACCAAGAGCCTTCAACCAGTGATGCTTCAGCAGCTGGCAGTCACAACTGTCCTTGCTAAGCTCACCACAAAACCAAGAGCCTTCAACCAGTGATGCTTCAGCAGCTGGCAGTCACAACTGTCCTTGCTAAGCTCACCACAAAACCAAGAGCCTTCAACCAGTGATGCTTCAGCAGCTGGCAGTCACAACTGTCCTTGCTAAGCTCACCACAAAACCAAGAGCCTTCAACCAGTGATGCTTCAGCAGCTGGCAGTCACAACTGTCCTTGCTAAGCTCACCACAAAACCAAGAGCCTTCAACCAGTGATGCTTCAGCAGCTGGCAGTCACAACTGTCCTTGCTAAGCTCATGTACTGCAAAGTAGTGGTGTGTTACCCTCACACCTGGAGATGATTTCCGAGCTTAGCGTCCCTGCAGCCCGGTCGTCAACCAGGCCTCCTGGGATATGTGTCGTGTTACGTGACGTGTTAGGTTATCTTGAGGTTATTTTGAGATGATTTCGGGGCTTTAGTGTCCCTGCGGCCCGGTCCTCGACCAGGCCTCCACCCCCCAGGAAGCAGCCCGTGACAGCTGACTAACTCCCAGGTACCTATTTTACTGCTAGGTAACAGGGACATAGGGTGAAAGAAATTCTGCCCATTGTTTCTCGCCGGCGCCCGGGATCGAACCCGGGACCACAGGATCACAGTCCAGCGTGCTGTCCGCTCGGCCGACCGTTACGTCAATTTTCAAGAACTATTTATTTCAAGATGTACAATATCAATCAAGAAGACGAACTACAACAAGGTATGCTGAAGTTTCTTAAATTACAGTACAGGGCCTGTATTGGTATATTTTTTAATTATACTGTGTGTGAAAATTTAAATTATGTTGGTGGAACAAAAAATGGTGAATATTAATGTTTGGACTTTGCCAGTAAGAATTCTGGTTATCTGGATGTCTGGCTTATCTGGTGGGAGATCCTTCCCATATAACCCGGATAAGTGAGCTCATACAGTACAGTATTTAGAATTTAGAATTTAATATAGCAAACACAACAGGGCTGGGGCCTATTAATATCTTTGAGAATTTAATTTCAGCCCATGAGCGTAGGTTCGCATAGATTCGAGCCCTCATCACAGCTCCTGTGGATCCTGTGGTTTATAATCTCATTATGAGAATAGTTAAAAATGAAGGCAGATTTTTGTTTTCATGGGGTTAGGTGAACTCATTAGATCACTATATAGATGCATTATAACCACATTTACATCATTTGTATAAAAGCCAGGTGATAATAACTGAAATCAATACAGTATATGAAGCTAACCTCATTACCCAGGGGATAAACTTGTAAGTGTTCATCGTAACTCGTGCAAAGGAAATAATTTATTTCAAAACATTCATAAAAAATATTTAACCCTTAGACAGCAGCTATAGAGAAATGGTCAGATGAAATGGTCATACCTGCCTATGTGCACAAAAAATTTAAAAATTCCAACAAATAATTTTTCATTAAAGAAATATAAATTTGAATCCAAATGTAAGAAAAACATAAAAATAAATGAACATTTATCCCATTGGAGGAGCTCTTGAAGAGTGTGTGTGTGGTGGGTGTGGGTGGCACCTGTCAACGCCCGGTGCTCGACTCTGATGATGCTCCCTATGTTATCCTCAGATGGTTCCCCGAGTGTTTATCACTTGTTTCTCTTCATTTACAAGAGTACAGTATATGTGTGTGTTGATTAACATGATGAATCACATAATTCCCATAATACAATTGGTTTCAATAACACATTTCAATTGATTGGTTTTCCTGGTATTCTCTATTACAACTAGAGAGAGTAGTGAAAAGGATATGGACATAATATACAATGGTGTTGGGCTCTGGGCGATGACATTTGTCCTAATTGGCACCATATGGGCAAGAATACTGATTGAAAGCATGAGCTACCAATGTGGCACAAGCACTTTTTCCTAGTACAAGTAACCATGAAAGGTAGCAGGATTTTTTTAAATGGTAAAGGTAAACTCCATTAAATTCACATGAGCTATTATATCCATATTTGCATCATACAAGTAAAACCCAGACAACAACTGTTTATATTGTTGTATGACGATAACCTCATTACCCCGAGAATCAATGTATGACGATAACCGCTGCCAAGGGTTAATATAGTTTGCATGCAGACTAAATTAGACATTTGGAAACTCAGACAAGAACAGAACTGGCTGTAAATAACTTATATTCTAACATTCATTATCCCAAATTTTTACTAAAAAGCAGTTAATTTACCTTCCTGAATATAATGTATGAATATCATCTGGCTTGGTTGCGTTTGGTCCAACGGCATTTTCAGCTAAACAAAACACAGCATGAAGGTTTTGTGTAAAACCTGCTTGAACAGCAACATAAAAGGCTCCTAATATTGCTGCCGCACCTCCACAATCTCGCTTCATACCAGGCATGCTTGTCTGATGAAGCAACCATTGATCAGATAGTTATATATATATAAGCTAAAAAATAAAGTCACAAAGAATTAACGCAATTGCCTTTCGCATCTTGGCTTACAATATATTCAACATCTATAGCAATAACATACAGGTACTTGTATAACACAGAGAATAACTCCTCACCTTGGTTTTAATACTTAGGCCGCCGGTGTCATAGACAATACCCTTGCCAACCCAGGCAATATTTTCACTTCCACCAGGTGGGGTGTGAGAAAGCACAACAAGAGCTGGAGGATGGAGAGCGGCTTTTCCTACACCATATATACCACCAAAACCTTTAGCAGCCAGCTCCTCGCCTCTAATAATTAGGGGTTTGATTCCCAAAACTTGTGCCACCTTCTGCACTTCCTGTTCAAAAAAATTCCAGTCACATATTGAGTATTTTCAGTTGCGGAATAAACTACATATTTCATTACAGATAAATACAGAGAAGTGGCTTTTCCAAAATCCAGCCTATCATTTCCAATCTATTCTAAATTTGTGAATATTTAGCTTTTTCATTATTTATCATCAAATATTTTGAAACTTTCTTAAAGCAAATATTATGTCAAACTCAAAATAAAACTACAGATTTTTATTTCACCTATGACCAATGACTTTTCCAAGAGATTAGCTCCTCGTACTGGACTCAAAACTTATGGCAAGCAATATTAAAGATGATTGCCCTCATACAGTCTTTCTCACAGTTTATGAGAGAATATTACTGTGCCAACCCTTAATTTCAACCTGTCATATGATAGATACCTATTACAAACAAATACTGTTTGCTGCAAATAGCTACACTATAAAACAATATGGCTTTCACCCTTACTTATAACAAAAATCCAGAGCTAAACTCTGAAAAAATCTAAATTGCCACTGGACATTCCAGTAACAAAATCGGTATGATATTTAGATGGCTCTCTTATATAGAGGTATGAATTTTGGGGATGCCACTGTATGATAAAACATCCCCATGCAGACGAGGAGTCACAATAACGTGGGTGAAATATGTTGACCAAAAACACACACTAGAAAGTGAAGGGACGACGACATTTCGATCCGTCCTGGACCATTCTCAAGTCAATTGTGAACGATTGGGACAACGACGAAACATCGTTGTTCCTTCACTTTCTACTGTGTGGTTTGGTCAACAAACATCCACATCATCCAAACAATGAAAGGCTTCAGTGACGTCATCTTTCTCAAGAATACATCAATGGACATCTGCTTTTAAATTTTCTCCATATTCCTTTTCCTTCAATAATGCATGAAACATGGTCTAATATTTGTGACTAAATAAACTGGAACCTTTACAGCGTTTGAGTCCAACTCCGCAGTGCATTTTAGAACATAGTAACTCATTCCAGAGAAGAAACTTGCCACCAATGACAAGTCTCAAAGACACAGAGAAATTATATGAATGCTCAATTGATAACGGCTATTTTGATGATTGTGGAAATAGGTGTACCTAATAAAGGAACACAAAATGATCAAAATTAATCAGTACTGTACTATCTTCCTGACTAATTGGAAGCAGCATGCAGAACCCTTCAAAAACAAAATAACAATGCGCACACACATGCGTGCCCGGGCTCGCACACAGGCGCGCGCACACACACACACACACATTATGGGGAGGGAGGGGGAGGCGATGGGTGGGAGGATGAGGGGAGGTGGTGATGGGCAGAAGGATGAGGGGAGGTGGTGAGGTGGTGATGGGCAGAAGGATGAGGGGAGGTGGTGAGGTGGTGATGGGCAGAAGGATGAGGGGAGGTGGTGATGGGCAGAAGGATGAGGGGAGGTGGTGAGGTGGTGATGGGCAGAAGGATGAGGGGAGGTGGTGAGGTGGTGATGGGCAGAAGGATGAGGGGAGGTGGTGAGGTGGTGATGGGCAGAAGGATGAGGGGAAAGGACAAGTGTAGGAAGGGGCAAGATGAAATGAGGGGTAGGGAGGATCGAAGGGACGGGAGAGAAGGGTAGGGGGTGATGAGGGAGGGGAGAAGAGTAGGGAGTGATGAGGGAGGGGAGAAGGTAGGGGGGATGAGGTAGGGGAGTATGGTTAGGGGGGGGATGTGGGAGGGCGGGTACCCACCCACCACCGAGTACCCCTCCTAGTAATGTATATACAATACTACTGAATATAAATTTACAAATGCTGAAAACTTAAGACATGTCTATAGATTTTCAGCCTTAACATTGAAAAGGAAAATACTTTATCGTTATTTCATACTTCAATAAAGGCATCTGTGTGCATCTCATTGGCTGGCGAGTCAACAATCCTGGCCGCAAGACGAACACCATAAACAGCATCATTCAACGCCTGTAGACAGAAAGATATACATAAAACAATGAGTTTGAAATTTGTGCCTAAAAGGAAACTGCATTTATTAATTACTGTATATATTCATTCATTATAACAAGGAACAATCTGCTAGGCTTCAGTTAAAGTGTTAATAATGTGTTTTAGCAATTACACAATCAAATTTGAGATAATACAAAGATATCTTAGAGAAAGTCAAGCAGTTGTGTATGGAAATGAATATTATCAAGTCATATGTGTGTGTATAGTGATGGATGACAGCCTATGTAGAAGGCACAAATTGAGATTCTATACCTAGTTATTCAGACACTGGGGATTTTCAGTCCCAACCAGTTTGTAAAGCGGATTGGCCTCTGTAACCAGATTACAATTATACACTAGGTTTACACATTTCACTAATATCCTAACCTTGACTTCCATCGAGAAAATCCATTGGAGCAATGCGGGAATTCGAACCATCATTCTACTGAATATCAGAAGCGTGTCTTTACCCACTTGGCCATGACAGGACGAAAGCTATTCAAAACTTGCTGAATAGCTTTTGTCCTATCATGACCAAGTGGGTAAGGCATGCATCTGGGATTCACTAGAATTCAGGTTCAAATCCCAGCATTACTCCAACTGATTTTCTCATTAATATATCACACCACTATGATTTTTTTTGAGTTTTGACCCCCCCCCCTCCTATGACCCCCCATGCATAAATACCACACATTAAGTAGCCATAGTAATGTCACACTGCCACGCCATACTTTACATATACAGTAATATCAAAGCAGTTACTCCTTACACCATTAAACCTCTAACAGGTTCTACTTCCTACATGAAACCCTTTCACAACATTTAACAACTCTGCCACTTCTAAACTGCCCATCCGTTTTACCACAAAGGTTTTCTAAGGTCAAAAAGGATTTGTATGCCATACAATCTTTTTTACATGCTGTATCAGTGCAATAAAAATATAATAATTTCTTTCAATCTTGAATAAGTTATTATTAGCATACACATACACACTAATGAACAGTAAATAGAAAATAATATTTCTGTCCGAGTTCATTCTAGGGGAGTAATATCCTCCCCGGATTAATATGCCCATATCCAGGCCGATATGGATATGTATAACTTTCTGGCATCAATGTGCATGGTGTTCTTGCTTACCGGGGACCACGAGCCAGAACTTGATCCCCCTCAGAGAGGAACGAAAAGCAATGGCCTATAGAAACCCCCGTGTGGTTGGGAGTATTCTACGTCTACCATCGACCGGGTCTGGCACTGTGAAAGATAGGCGTCCCAACACAAACCTCTATTCTGATGAAAATATTGCTACCGAAAGCCAAAGAAGTGGACAGTACTCCCAAACGAAAATAAACAAACAAGCATGACATCATCACATTGCAGCGCCACTGTCTGCGCACCCCCCACCCCCCCCACCCTCCTTGGGAGGGGGAAGGGGGAACCCCCAGACCCTCGCGCCGGTGATCCAACCGGCAGTTCTTAGGCTGGTTGTCAAAATCCCACGAAAACACTGCCAACCGGAGGAAAGGTGGGAGCGATGCCGGGGAGTCTCTGGGTCTCACTCAGAAAATGGTGTTTCATTACATTCAACGCTGGTTTTCTGGGGGGAAGCCCCATTGGCTCCCCGCAACTAACTACCCAAAGACAAGGAAAAACACAGGGACTTACCCCAAAGGCGGTCAGTTTTCACTCCTCAACGCGAAGTTGAGACTACTGGCAGTAGCTGCCGACCCAATGCAACGCAGGCCCTACCAGGAACACTGATAAGGTAGCGAGCGGCCAGGACCCTATTCGACCTCTAAAAACCCTGTACCTGAATGTCAACCCAAGACATTGCCAAAGACGGCAACCAAAGCAGCAAACTTATGAATGTCGTGGGCACGGGGATAGACAGCAGGCTGGCTAGAATTAATAACCCTGCGGACGACCTGAGAGACCCAAGCCCAGGAACAGGAAAGGAGGAAAACCGGGTCAACCCAAAGCGCATCCCCAGCCACCGAAGCCATGGCGCACAAATAACGGAGGAGAGCCGCAACCGGACATAACACATGATGCACCCCCGGCCTGACCAATCAAGCATCAACAACCCAAGGATTCCTCCGGAAAGCAGCAATCTCATTCTTCGCCAGAAAAGAAGGAGACGGCTGCAACCGAACAAACCTACCACCATGACCGAAGGAGCCGAAACCCCTGAGCTGGAGAACATGAAGCTCCCCGACCAGACCTCCAAAGGCCAATGCCAACAGGGGAAAAAAAAAAAAAAAAAAAAAAAAAAAAAAAAAAGCCTTAGAAAAACAATCCTGAACCAAAGGGGCCACAACAAACCAAGAAGAGAGAAAAAAAGAGCCCCTGGTCCAAAGACCAGGATGGCTCAGGAGGCGCATGAGCAAGCTGGAAGTAAAACAATGCACGAGACAGCTTACAGAATGGGGCAGAAGTAACGTCAATGCCGAACGCAAGCTGGAGCAGCTCCGCCAGCGCTGCACAATATGAGGCGACAGTATTTGGCATAAGATGACAGTCCTGGAGCAACCACAAAAGGAAGGACAAGATAACCCTATCAGAGATTGAAGTACACCTATGGAGTGATAGGAAAACTGAAAGGACCGCCAGGAAACTTCATACTGCAGCCGAGACGAAGCATGCAGGTGGGTGACCAACAATGAAGCCACCTACTCCCCATACAAGTGATGACAGACTCAAGTCAGAAACTCCAGATGCAAAGACTCAAATAGAAGGACAAACCAGCCTTGTACCGAGCTGGACTGATCTGCTGAAAGGAGCCACGGGAAGACACTACCTGTAGAGACAGACCACACCACAAGGCACAGAACTGAGGCATAAGCTTTCGGTAGCAATATTTTCACCAGAATTAGGGTTTGTTTTGGGGGAGCTTTCTGGGTGCCAGACCTGGTCGATGGCAGACATAGAATGCTTCCACGCACACGGGGATTTCTATAGGCCATTGCTCCTCGTGCCTTTCTGAGGGGGCCAGGTTCTGGCTCGTGGTCCCTGGTAGGCAAGAACTTCATGCACATTCAGACTTTGAAATCAGTCATGTGTATGGAGTTCTTTACGCCTACTGGGGACCACAAGCCAGAACCTGGCCCCCCCCCCCTCAGAAAGGCACGAGGAGCACTAGCCTATAGAATCCCCTCATGTGTTTGGAAGCATTCTATGTCTGCCATCGACTGGGTCAGGCACCCAAAAAGGTAAGCATCCCAAAACAAACCCTATTCTCGTAAGAAATTGCTACTGAGAGCCGTACTAGTGGACAGAACTCCCAATATAAAAACGAGTTAACGAGCATGATATCACCATGTCGCTACGCAGTTGTCTGCGCAGCTTCCACCTCCTTGGGAGGAGGAAGGGGAAGCCCCAGACCCCTCGTGCCGGTCCCCAAGATCCCAGTTCTGAGACTAGATATCAAAACACGCAAAAAAAACGCCGACTGGGAGGGAGGGAGGGTTGCCGGGGAGCCTCCAGGTCTCACCCAGAAAATGGTGTTTCATTACATTCAACGCTGGTTTTCTGGGGAGAGCCCCGTCGGCTCCCCGAAGCTACCCAGCCAAAGGCGAAAACTAGAGAGACCAAACCCTGGAGGTGGACGTCGCTCACTCCCCGACGCGAAACAGACACAAAAGACTGCAACCGCCTATCCAAGGCCACACAGGCCTGACAAGGCCAAGGAACATCAACAAAGGAACACGTAGCCAACGTATGAACGTTGTGGGCACGGGGATAGACTGCAGGTTGGCTGGACCAAACCACCCCATGGATGACCCGAGAGAGCCGCACCCTGGAACAGGGAAGAAAGGAAACTGGAACAACCCAGGTCACAGCAGTCGTGGCACGCAAAGAACGGCAAAGCGCCACAACCAAACACAACACATGATGCACCCCCGGCCAGACCAACCAAGCATCAACAACTCAAGGAGCCCTCTGGAAAGCAGCCATGTCAGTCTTCTCCAGAAAAGAAGGATACGGCTGCAAGCGAACAAACCTATCACGAGGACCAAAAGAGCCGAAACCCTGGCGCTGGAGGAGAGCATTAAGCACCTCTGACCTGATCCCCAGAGAAACTCCAACAAGAAAAGAGCCTCGGAAAACAATCCAGAACCGAAGAGGTCACAACAAACCGAGAAGAGAAGAGAGCACCCAATCCACGAACCAGGACGGCTCAAGCAGCGCAAGAGCAGGCCGGAGGTGAACCACACCAGAGACAGCTCGCGAATTGGTGCAGAGGGAACACCAAAATGGAAGCAACCCAGGAGCGGCTCCGCCAGCGCCGCACAAGACAAGGCAACAGTATGTAGCAAGATGATGGCCCTGAACCTCCACAAGAACAAGACCACGCCAACAAAATGCAGCAAACCTACGAAGGGACAAAAAGAAAAAAGAAAGGACCGCCAAAAAAACCCACACAGCTGCCAAAACAAAGCACGCAGGTGGGACACCATCAACGAAGCCACCTGAACACCAACAGATGATGAGAGACTCAAGGCAGAACCGAACCAGCCCCACCATGGACCGATCGAGCATGGGAAGAGGCGGAGCTGCGGGAAAACCTTGGGTGCGAACGCCAAGCAAGCAGCACCAGAAGCCCAAGCTGGCAAGGAACCAGATGGTACGTCTGCCATACAGAAAACTTCCCAATGCTAGCAAGCTTGTCAGGAGGTCAGACACTGTGGTGCCGACATGAGACTCATGATAAGTGACACAGCGAGATCAGGAAAGTGCCAACTGGCAGGATAAGCCAGGAAACCAGGAACCCAAACCCAGCAAGCCAGGAAAGAACCAATCTGGGCGAGCAGACACGTCCCGCCCAGGAGGAACCTCCTGGGACCCCTGAAGGACCAACAAGTTCGACAACGGTTGACAACTAGAAGCCACCAGCAGAAAAATGCCAAAATGCAGATGCCGCAAACAGCAAGGACAAAATTGCAACGAAAAACGAAGTGCCAGGGCCCAGGCTGAGGCCAACG